AGAGAGAAGGCAAGAGGTCAAGAGACGACAGATAGATTGCATGTCATCTACATAGAACTGATATTGGAAGCCAAATTAGTTTATTAGTTTATCATAGGTGGAACTATAGATCAAGAACAGTAGGGGACAAAGGACAGAACCTTTGTGAACAGCAACAGATAGGGACTGCAGAGAAGAGGAAGAACCAGAAAAAGAAACATTGAAAAGAGCACTGGGAGAGGTAGGAAGAGAACTAGGAAAGAGCAGGGTCATAAAGACTAAGATAACAAAGGATGAGAATACATTTTGGATGATCAACTGTGTCGAAAGCAGCAGAAAGGACAAGGAGAATTGTAGATTATACTAGCTTTAGTGTAACTATAATCTTAATATTATTAATGACAGGAGGCGAATATTTGCTTAAGTCTCTCTTTACTAGAACTCCACAGCAGCACATTAACAGAGAAAAACAACCAATCAGAAAAAAGTAAGGAACCATAAAAGTCCCCTCCCAACCAACTACTTCCTCTATCAAGCTGCAACAAAACAATGAACAAATACAAACATAACCATATAGTAGTATCAGAAGAATTTAACCCCTTAAATCCGCAGGGCGTACTATTACGCCCTGCAGGAGCCGGCTCTAAACGCCGGCGGGCGTAATAGTACGCCCTCGCTTTAATGGCCGCCCACGTGGCCGGCTCTAATCTCCCGCTGCAGATCGCGGTCGGGAGGGATGCCTGGCCCCCCAGGCAACCCCCCCTGTGGCCGGTGACCGCGATCTGCAGCTTCTGATCGCAGTGACAGGCTGTCACTGCGATCAGTTTTTAAGCGTGTGTCAGCCGATTTCAAATCGGCTGACACACGTGGCCAGCGGCTACCCCTGTGCAGATCGCGGTCGGGGGACATACCTGGCCCCCCAGGCAGTCCCCCTGGGGTCATTGACCGCGATCTGCACTGTGTGAGATCGCAGTGACAGGCTGTCACTGCGATCTCACAGTGCTGTGATCGCAGTGACAGCCTGTCACTGCGATCACACACGTGGCGGCGGCTACCCCCGTGCAGATCGCGGTCGGGGGACTTACCTGGCCCCCCAGGCAGTCCCCCTGGGGTCAGTGACCGCGATCTGCACCTTCTGAGATCGCAGTGACAGGCTTTCACTGCGATCTCAGAGCCCTCTGATGGCAGTGACAGCCTGTCACTGCGATCAATGCTACATGTATCAGCCTAATGGCTGATACATGTAACAGCCACCATGATCCCCCTGCAGATCGGTAGGGGGAGTGCTTGTACCACCCAGGCACTCCCCCTGTGGTCAAATAACCAATCTGCAGGAGGTGATCACAGTGACAGCCAGTCACTGTGATCACTATTGGAATGTGTCAGCCAATGACCTCAGGTCACTGGCTGACACTTTGTCTCTGCCCCTCACCTCACTTCGATCTGAGAGAGAGAGGCAGAGACATCGTTGGTTTTAGAGCTCCTGTGAAAAAAAAAAGTTTTATTACTTTATAAAAGTTTTAAATATATATTTAATTTAACCCTTTCAGCACTGATCACAGTTTATTACTGTCATCAGCTGAATAGGGCATCAAGTACTTTTGTACTTTATTTTAAAAAAAATTTGGGGTCAAAAAAAAAAAAATTCTCATTTTTTTTGACCCTTTCTGTCAGTTGCAGCAACCCAAATCTCCATTACCCTTTCCCCGCTGCCGTGATCACTGTACTGTACAGTATATCTGCTGTACGGTACTATATCAGTGATCACTGTGATCAGAGGGCTCTCTGATCAGGCTGACTTTTTTTTTTTTTTTTTTTTAAGGGTTATTTTTTTTCATAACTTAAAAATAACCCTTTCAGTACTGATCACAGCTCCCTTTACTGTGATCAGTACATTTATTTTGTTTTTGAGGGTGGGTAGTGGGTGTTAGGCAGGTAGTTAATTAATTAGCCCCTTAGCCCTTTTCACTTAATTTTTTTCCCCCTAGAATGGCACGTCGCTACTCAGCTGAGGAGGCGTATGCCATTCTGGCAGGCAGTGATAGTGACACTCTGCAAGACAGTGACACTATCACTGCCTCTGACATTGAGCCTCTGAGTGAGACCTCAAGTGATGGTGCCCCACCACCACTCACAAGAGGACGCTCAGAATGCCCAATGCCAGAGGGAGACTGGGTGCCTTCAAACATGATGGCACCAGAAATACCGCCGTTCACTGTTACACC